TTCTACTAGCGAAGGAACTATTGTCGGAACCGGACTTCAAAAGGTGGATACGATTAGTGGGAAGACATTTGGATTCCTAAAGTGAGTAACCACAAGAAGTGATCGTTACCAGACCGGGAATTGATTTCCTCATACATCGTCGGTTTTGAAGGAGTTCAAGAACAAAGGTAATTTTTATAAATTACATATCAAATCAAAATTAGTAAAAGTTACTAGATTTTAAATGATGCTTATTCGTTATATCGTTATACTTATGTACGGAATAAGTATTTATAAGATAAATACTTATAAAATTTTAAATTCCGCTGTAAACTCTGTTCCGTACGGTATATCGAACCCAACATGATTTTCATCAAAAATAACTGACCACTTAAACCAAAATATTCGAGCCAACTAAAAAAAGCCCAATAAACGGAAAGGTCTAGAAACCCTTAGGTTTTATTGCCAGTTACCACTGCCTCATTTGACATTTGATATCATTCACGCCCATCTCTCATCTCTTTTTTCTCTCAAAACATAATAATCTTATTATATCTTATTTCTGAAAAAAATTCTCGCCGAGAATCCAGATGAAAAACATGATTCATTGGAGAGATTTTCCGTTCTACACTCCCAAACTAAGAAAAAAACACCCCGAACCATGAAATTTCCAACCTAAAAACAGATCGGACATAAAAATTCGACCGATTTTGAATACAACCATGCTAATCTATAGCAAGTTGGTGAAATCGGTCGGAAAAAAGGATCTATATTCCTTTTTTTTTTATTTTGTTTATTATATTTATATTTTATTTTTTTTAAGCATTCATTTATATTTATATTTTCATGGATATAAGGCATTTTCAAAGATTATTGTTTCAGGTTCTAAGATTTTGGAAGACTTTTTGAATAATATATTCAAATAGGCACTTCAAATGTTTATCTTTTTCAGTTTTTTTTTTTAATTTTTTTTTTTATTTTTTTGTAATATCATAACATATATGTTAAGGTTTGTAGCGTATTTAAGGCTTTTCTTGTTTTAATGTTGAAAATTGTCTGAGAATTTTTAAAATTATTTGTCTGTAATTTGTAAAAAACTTTTACGAACTTTGAACATATCTGTCATCCTCCCTTCCGTGGAGGATAGATAAAGTGATCGTCGACACTGCCAAAGCCGACCGATCTGTTAGGCTCACAAAAGCGTGGCAATAATCCGTCGCCATCTCCGTCGTGACTATCCACGGCTGCCAAGTGGTTGTCACCCTCGACCTCCTCCGACCCATAGATCCCCCGCTCTCCAAGTAAGCATTTCCTTCTCATTTTTCTTACACGCTAGTTTCATTGTATCGATTGGGGTTTATTTGGATGAGGTTTGTAAATTGTGTAGGGGTCTGATTGTTGACTTTTGTTTCAATGTGTGTGCTTCATTTTGAGGGCTGGGGTTGAGTCAGTGACTGTACCCAAGATCTAATTTAACACGTTGAATGAATTTGTTCCCATGGTCATTTACTGTGAGACAATTGAGGTTGAGTGCCAAATATTTTATTACCTAATTTTTAGCCATTCGTATTTTTCAAATCTTCAACTGGCTTATTTTGATGATTCATACTTATTTTTAAAATTTAGTTTTTATTTATTATTATTTTTTTTTTTTTATGAACTTGAGTTTTGGGCCAAGAAATTCTTTTAAATATACTAATGAACTCTTGTTGCTAACAATTTATCTTTTCGTTTTTATGTATTAGGTTTTGAATTATCTATCCTGTTATGTCGCAATTTGTTGAAAGTTTAATACTATAATCACTTCAAAGTGGGATTTTGTACATTCAACTACTATTTTGTACTA